AAAGCCCCTGTGTTATAGAGAAAGTCACTGTAGTACAGAGAAAGTCCCTGTATTGCAGAGAAAGTCACTGTAGTACAGAGAAAGTCCCTGTAATACAGTCCATGTTACAGAGAAAGCCCCTGTAATACAGTCCATGTTACAGAGAAAGCCCCTGTATTACAAATGTACTTCCTGTAATGGAAAATGAAACAGTTTGAAAGAATATAATATTTCAAATTTGTACCAAATATAGCAAAGCAAAATATTTGGTTACTGTCAGTAATCTATGAAGTGTGTGGATATCACAATACCACAGCCAAGAACCCAATATCTAACTTGTTTAAAGGGAGACCTAAATACACAGAAACCTATTAAATCTCCAAGTTAATTTATAACTCTCCTTGCTGGACTACAGATTTAGATATCAACGTCCAGACAGGACAATGACCAATATTGACCCCTCACTATTGATTGAAGGGCTGTTTGATCTTACACACTCCTATATTGTAAAATTACTACAGCATTTTGTTCCACCTGAGACATATAATAATGGTTTCTATGTAAAGAGTAACCCAGTATACAATTGAGACTTTCAGGATGTAACAAATTGTGGTTAACTGTTTTTCCAGAGATGTTGTATTTGTGACATGGCCATTATATAAAGGTATAACAATATTTACAAGAAGTTAATTGTCAGAGTGGCCATGACCAGTTTAATTTGTGTGCAACCAGAGACAAGTATTATATAACTTTGACAGGGACATATCTGCTCTTTGTTTGCTTAGTATATTGCCCCATGAACAGCAAGTTTAGATAACAGAAACCTATTGCCTAGAAAATATGTTGTTCTTGGACATTTACAATTTGCTTTTTTATGTATTTTAATTGGCAAACTTAAATATGAAAACTAGATATTTGCTCCATTTTAAATATAGTATAGAATTAATACTTAAACATTACAAAATGTTAACTTGTTTGTGACTTATTTGCAACTGTTATCATCCCATGAAAAGACAATAGTCATTAATTAAGACTCATGGTGTCTTGTTGTTTCTGGTGGCTACCTCAATGAACATTATGCTGGAGACCCATTTCATATACTAGCTATCCATAACATTTGATTTAGACTGACTTGCCGGAGCGCACTGCTATGACAGCACAGGACAATCTGTGGTTTCATATTCATGACAAACACAAACTACCCCAGGTAGAACTATTACTCAGGTACCTCTGTAAGGCTCTGGTTTTCACCTGAGAACAGCTAATTAGTCCAATGTTCTACATGCTAAGGTATCACAGTCTCTATTACTTGTTAATAACCATCATAAAAATACAGAAAACATATTTCTGACGTGCATGTATGTCTCTTTTTTGGTCACCAATAAAACAGACTCACAATCAGGTCCAAGATATATAATTATTTATGAAAAGTAAATAGTTTACCTATGTAAGTATTAGCTTTATTTTAAATACCTGTGTGATCGTTAACAGGTATGAATCCTGAGTAAACCTTTCACTGTGAAGTATTCTTTAGGATAAGTAAAAAACCATACAACCTGTGAGTACTTGTATTATATAGCTATAGCCATAAATTTGATAATATCTTTTGCTTTATGTAGGGCCAAAAATTTCTTGGTCGATCTCATTGAAATCTTTTCTGCCAAAATTCAAACCCGTTTTTGGAAAATGCTATGTACATTTCACAACTATTTTTTTTCTTCTGAAACCTGTTTAGTTTTATGTCTCTTAATCTTTCTTGATTTAAATACCTTTTGTCAAAGTGGGGTAACATTGTGCAATGCGAAAGAATTTCTATAGTATGAGACATTTATCAAACCATTAATTTACCATATGTTAATTTGCTTTTAAAGCATTCTATTCATTACAATCATGGCTTCATCAAAATGCATTTTCTGGTCTGACTGTCTTTTACCTTCATCTGACATGTCTTGTGACGTCTTGAAGAAACATATTGCCATCCAGTCTCTATTTTCCAAATTACTTTGAGTGTTTTTAGATTAACTATGGTACATGATATTTTTACTGCTAACTTGAATGGATACAAGAACTTTTCTTTTACATTATCAGCTTAAAAGTGGATTTATGAGCACACAACTTGGAAGCAGATTGTTATTAATAGATTAGTAATTTATATTGTTGCAAGAATGAATCTATACAGGTCTATGTTTAGACTTAAGCTGTAACAGGTGTGGGGTCAATAGTGATTGTATTGGGATAAAACAAATTTCCTGTTCTGCCCTGATATCTGTAAAATGTAGCATTTATAATTCATTTGTAACAGAATTCCTTGAAGTTTTCCAAGTTGTGACTGTCCAAATATGTCTTTAATAGAACTGTTGAGAAATGTATGATAAAGATCATATAAGATACAGATTCATGAAAGATAAATATTCATGTATGATAAAGATTTATCTAAGATAAATTTGAAGATTCATATAGGATAAGTATTTATAAGATAAAGGTCCATGTAAGATTAATATTCATAAGATAAAGGTTCATATAAGATCAATATCCATTTACAATAAAAGTTCGTGTAAGATCCAGGGCTCTCGATCTGCCAGATTTAGGGCCGTTATTCGGCCCCATTCCCAATGTAAAATAGTATCTTTTTTTCTCAGTTTAGACCCCAAGTTTTCCCAATTCTAAGGAAAACGCTGCTATTTTTCCCTATTCTAAGGGCCCCGGGCCCCAATCCCAAAATGGGGTGTGAGAGCCCTGCAGATCAAAATTCATATAAGATACAGATTCATGTAGAATACTGAAAATTACTGTACAACACTCTGCTTTGATAGTAATATAACTTTAAAAAAAATGTATTTGTCAATAGATTTAACAATACAAAAATATCCTTCCTATCTGTTGATCTGCTTGCATGCAATGAAATAGTGTGTGTATATATATGGTGTAATGCTACCATATACAAACCCAGTAATGTGCTGTATTTCAGGGTATCAAAACTATTTTGTTGTACTTATAAACAAATTTGAATGGATGTCATTATTGACATTGATCCTGATCATTAGGCCCCAGTTGTTCAAAGGTTAGTTTGAGATAACCAATGGTTAGTCAAACATTTACATTTTTGCCACTGAAAAAAATCCAGGATTTGAAAGGAAAATTTGGCAATCAAAGAATATCAATCTGACCTGTTTCAACAAATCTACAGCTATGAAATGACAGAGCATGCTTCCAATTTTGTTTGATTTGTGTTTGAAAATGTTTACTAACCGCTTGTTATCTCTAACCAGCATTTCAAAAACTGGAACCTGAAAGAGATTAAAATCAGCAAATCTTCTTTATATAAAACACAAAGAAAGTTTTTACTGCTATCTTCTTTTAATGAATTTTCTAAAGGTTAATTGCCCTGCTTTAATTTTTCATTCTTTGATAAATGCACTACATGCTGTAATGGGACTTTCCTATTTTTCTGATTAATATTGTACTCAGTATAACTTTATTGGATATCATATTGATGTGTGTCCAAGCAGCAATTAACTTTTTACCTCTCTTTCTCCTCCCCTACACCCCCCCCCCCTACACACACACACACTAACCCCTCCATCACCCCTACCCCCAACTCCTCAACTCCCCCACCCCCGGACACAGACACAGCACACCACACTAACCCCTTCATCACTCCTACCCCCAACTCCCCCACCACCGGACACACACACACAGCACACCACACTAACCCCTTCATCACCCCTACCCCCAACTCCCCAACTCCCCACCCCCGGACACACACACAGCACACTTCACTAACCCCTTCATCACCCCTACCCCCATCCCATTGGCCCAAGATTCATAAAAATCTAAAGAAATTATCAAATTTAGATGTCACATTTCTTTACCACTATTTTATCAGACTAATACAACAAAGAGTCAGTGTTTTAATGAAGTCTATGGATATTTTCCTATAACATGGGTCATTTGTCATAAGTCTAAAGAACTTAATATGTCATTTAAACTCAATTTTTCGAAAGACAATATGTAAAATGTCAATTCATTCTAGGTCATGACACGTGCAAGCTTAATGCTAAATGTTGAGTTTTTTAAAATACATTATACCTGTATACCAGTAGAAAGTTTAGTTTGTCATGTCAAGCTTATCAAACTTTATTGGAAATGAAGTATAGTATTGATTATTTGATTTACCTGTAAGTACTGAACCACAATACCTGTGTAATGATTTATAGGTAAAAGTGTCAGATAATGCTTTTCTCTGTAATATTCCAACAGGTGTATCATTATTATAACAAAGGAGTAATTGATGGTGTAGTACGGCTCTAGCAGTGACTATATGGTGTTATTACATAAATCTCAAATACTATACTCACTACTCATATCTTATACTCAATTGTCTGTAAGGAATAAACCTTTCTGTAATTCATTTGTAAAATTACTTACAAACTAATATGCATGACAGTACAAATAAACAATTTGTGGATTTTTGACTAGAAATATTGGCTATCAAGTTGAATTTGGGTTTATCATAACATGAATGCCATATGGTGGGTAGTACATGTCATACTTCAGTAATCTTTACTTTTTCAAATTGAAATAAAATTATAGCATATTAAATTAAATGCAATTACATGCAGAACGATTCTCATGATTTTTGTCATTGTTACATTGAAAAAGTAATTTGAAATTGCCATTCAGTTAAAAATTTCTTGTATTTCAAGGAATGATTTTATATAAGAACATCATGCAATGTGTTTTTATGGGAGAGCAAATGCATCTAGGTGTGTTAAATCTGTGTCTCTGAGTTTTAGTCAAAACATAAGTTTTTTTCTTTTTTAAATAGAGATTTAGATTGACCATTTAGCAGGATTTGCTTTTTCTTTCTTTAATTTAAGTGTTTTAATGTAAATAGCTTGTTGAGGAAAACAGTCAACTTTTCCTTTAGAAGCCCATTGTTTTATTGTATGTTCCATGCATTCTTGCAATCATTTGTTTTTAATCTTTTAAATTAACACCTGTCTTGTATTTGTTGACAGTGGGCCACTGTGCTGACACCAACTTTCCCCAAAGGAGAGTGGCTACTCATAGGGTGCCACTAAAACAACCAGGAGCACGGAGCCGCCACCCCCAGGTCAGCCACTTCCGGGCGATGCCGCGGCTGGCAACATGATTAAACAGGGCGTCGTACAGGAAAAAATTTCTGACCTCACCACTATGAATCAGCTGCCACCCCTGAGCACGCTGCCACAGTGGTCACGGATAAATACTTTAGATAGGGGTCGCTACCCCAAACCCTTCGTCAAAGATAAAGTGACTAGTGGTGCTGAGGGCCGAAAGGAGGGGGAAGAAGAGGAGCGTGATGTTGATATATCAGAACTTAACCCATCACAGAGGATACACCATCTTGAAAGGAGTATCCATTTTCTTCGTCAACAACATCAGGAAGTTCTCAAGTCTCTCCATGATGAAATAGAGGTTCTCAAGAAAGAGAATAAAGGTATTTAAAGGCATTCGTTCTTCATTTTCCTCTCCTTTGTTCTCCTTCTCATCCTCCTTGTACATCTCCTTCTGTCTCCATTCTCCTAGTTCTCATTTTCCTTCATCTCTTTCTTAACCTTTTCCTTAGCTTTCTCCTCAATTGCAAATTAAAAAATTCAGTTTCTAAATTAAGATTGAAATAATTATCAATTAACATTAGACATCTGAATCCTGCCTACATACCAAGAAAAAAAATACAATTAAAAAATATAGATGAATTGATAGATAAATAAACCTGCATCTTCTTTTGCCAAAACACTTGTTGTAGGATGAAGTGACCTACTTTTGTTTTTTTATTCCGTTTGAAGAATTAGGGGATGTTAATACACAGCTCTATCTTTGACTAAGAACTAGTATGTGAAAAGTGGGCTGTTAACAGCACAACTATGTGATGTCGGTATTGACTGGGAAGCTGTTTGATGTATGATCCAATTTGCTGTATCTATAAAATATGCGAGGGGAAAGGAAACTTCATCAATACTTGATTACAAACGAGCTTACCTGGATGTTACCTGAGGATGATAGTGATGGAAATAGACATTCTCACCTGGCTGGGTTTAATTAACGTTTTTACCTTAGTAGCAATGAGTATAATGCTAGCAGTAAGATACATATAATACCATATTAGACTATGGGACTATTTTATGTTTTCTCTCTGAGCTTGTTACATATTTTGTTGTAGGCAGGCTTTTAAATTTTTTTGATAGGTTTTGAAATAATTAGTGACATCAAGAGAACAAGATATTTTTCCAAACTATATTTTCATACCGTAAGATTTTAGAATTGGACGTTTTCCATGGGTGTTCAGTACTGGATGTAACAGTCATCTCCGTTTAATGCCTAGTTAGATTATTGCCAGTTTTTATGCATGACTGAATGATTATCTTTCCAAATTTGAAAACACATTGAAGCCCAGATGACATTTTACTTGGCTATTAAAAGGCAAAACCAGTTTCAATAATAGATGTAAAAGCTGTTGAATAATGATACAGAATAATGGAATGATGTAGGTAGTGTAGGAGAGCGAATATGCAAATACGGATGAGGTCAGAATTTCAACCGAGGACCTCTAGCATCCAGACATTACTTTTGACAGACACTTAAAAACCGAGACAAACAGCCCTATGTTATCATTCCACCCAGGCCCACTTAAACTAAATCCTTAACTATTCATAGCAGGTTATGAATGTATTTGGACTTTTGTGAATTCATAAGAATGTTTTGCGTACAATGACAGGGAATTTGCGAGGCTTTAGTTTGTGTTCAGTTCTGTCAGTCCCATTCACAGTCGAGAATTTTCCTTAATCTTACATGATCAGCAGCTTGTATGATAAAATGTGTGAAGTCTTTAAATAATTGCTTGCATTCACTGTTTAAAATAATCCCCCCAAAATAGGAAGGACTAAAATATATTTCTGTTAACCAGTCCTGTACTGCTTATTGAATGAAAAATGAATGAATTATAGCTATAATGTTGGTTGTTTACATTGTATTTTGATATTTTGCCCTGTGAATAAAACACAAATAACTGATGCTGTTCTCCCAATTTATAAAACAAAGACATGACGTAATTTCCCCAGTTTTAATGCATGGTCCCATTCCCAAAATGCCTTGCAAAGTCCCTGAATAAAATTACTGTATATTAGGTGAGATGTGTTTGAGTTGTATCTTAAAGCCACAGTACATTAATACACTACTTGTTTAAGGTTATAACTGACACCAAACAAGACTTTTTGTATGATGTATGGACAGATGTATAGATACAATGTGGTTGAATCCAGTCCTCTGTTCAGACAGATTACTATCAATTTACATTGTCTTGTAGTTATCTCGATATTGTAAATATTTAATATATATCATTATCAAATGAGGCGTGACCTATTGTTTACATGTTAAATCTATACTGCAGACAGTATCACTCTTATTATCATATTTACTGACTTTATTCGTGCTGAATAATGGTGGACGAGTGTCTGTTCCAAAGGTTAAGGTCAAATGTAAAACACCAGCTGTGGGAAAATATGTTTCAAATAAAATATTGCAAGACAACTCAAACCATAATAGACATAAAGTTGAATAAAAACATACATTATCAAATGTGATAAACATTTATTATTGTGTAAAAAAGATCAAAAACAGAAGTAAAATGGATGTTATGTACATGTAATATATAGTGCTTTTGTCTGAAGTTTGCCTTGGTCCTGTTTTAATTTGACTTTGTCCAATCCAAATTTTTGTCTGAATTTGACACTGTCTGATCTTACTTTTCTCTATGCATTCAATATTGAAATCCAACATTGTTTTTACATGAAAAGTTTCATCTTTCCTTATTTTTTCTCCAGATTTACATTTTAAAATTGTGATGTCCCAGAAACAGCACCAAGAGAAACAAAGTGCCAATAGTCAGCGAGACAGTTCTAAAGACCGGTCTCGGAATGATGGCAATTCTCGTGCCCTGGAGAAAGGTAATACAATTCTATTTTTGAATTTCTTTTGTTTCCATGAAAAAATGTTCAGGTTTTATCTTTAACTGAGCATACAGCCTACTCTGTACAGCTTTCCCATGAACTTTTGAAGACCACTTTCTGCTCCACAGTTTTACAGTTAATTCTGTCTGTCTTGTTCAAAACACTTCAAATATCTCTCACATGGAAACCTTTGGGCTAATTTCATCCTCCTTGTGTACACATCACCACTGTCCCTGCGATTCGCTCTACTCTCTTTTACCTGTGATAAGTTAATGCTTAGAAACCAATAACTCTACCCTAGGCAGACATTTTCTAGTAATATTAATCAGAAGACCTCCCCTTGAAATAAGTATCACAGTGTCATTTATGATATCATTAATGCCATCACAGATGCTCAGATACTTTAATGTACATGTTCACTGTATTCCTTTTGACATCCTGGCTATCATGACATCATTTAAAGTCTCAGATTCTAAAGTTTACCCAACTCAAACAACTCTCCTAAAAGTGGATCAGTATGTCGTTGCTGTGTTTTGTGTATAGAAACAGCTGTTTTTATGCTCCTTGTTTTATCATCACATGATCTATTTCTTGATCACATGACTTGTTTCTTCATTGACAAATCTATGGTATCTCTTTTCCTTTGGTTGATATTTTTGTTTTAAGGTTTCATATTGCATTAGTTTCTTTATTGTCTAGCTGTAAGGAATTTTAGGTTTGACAAATCAATTTCCTGGAAGTTGTACATCATACTTTGGTCAATATTTGGGTTAGAGTTTTGCATGTGCATGAATGATGGACTAAATTATGGCATGAAATTGATGTATGATGTTGTTCATGACCAATTAATAGATTGTTTAATTTCAAACTTAAATCTTCAAGCAATTAATAAATGTGAAAATAGATGTTGGCAATACAGCAAACTTTAAATACAAAAAATATACAATATTTTTCCAATAAGATAACAAAATGTAAGTACATATGAATATTTGTCAAATGTAATTAAATATTCAGGTACATTTTTATTTCAAACTCTAGAGAAAAAATCTTTCAAATTTGATCTAGTTTTTATTTCAAGTTGATGCAGCAGTGCTTAGGGTTCTTCATACATTTAGAGAAATTTTATCATCACTTGTTTGCATAGTGGTCATATTTATAGCAAATAGAGATTTATTATCAATTATGCACAATGTTTAAAAAAAAAAAAAAAATTAATAAATGATATTGTAATAGGAAATTTTAAATAGTTTGATAGGGTCAGAGTTTGAATTAAAATCACATGTTATTGACTGCTTGAGTAATATTCTATCATTCAATATATTTTAATTTTGATTTCCTGATTAATCTTTATTGAAGCATGTATTTCTCATTTTGTGTTTATTTCAACATAAATCTGTATACAAGCTGTGTAATATCGTTGTTGTCTTCCCTAGCACCCAAATTTTTGTATACAATATTCCCCAACCTCTCATGTATTTTCCGACTTCAATTTTCAATGCACGCTACCAAACATTTCTCAGAATCAAAATACATAAACAATTCATTGCAACATATTATCTTATTTTCTAAATGTAGCTGTTGAGATTTATATCTCTATAGTTTCATGAAATTATTTTTTAAATGTTGTCAAAGTTACCAGAAAACAGAAATGAAATTTCTAAAATCTTACTTTAAAATTTCATTAATTAAATGATAAGTCATAATTTTTAGTTCTTTTTTCTTTTGTTTTTGGTTTCTCTTTGTTTTTTTTTTTTTTTTATTTTTACTTTCTGCACTTTTTCGTTAAAGTGATACCAGTAAATTGTTTATGTAATATGCACACAACCCAGAGCTATACTATTCAAAATGCATTCCCTTTTCTCCAGAACTCTGGTTCCTGACTTCCAATGAAATTATGCATTGTCATAATGAACAACAACACTCAGCTATCAGGACAAACGTTACACTGTAATTCCTGTCATTTTCTGTGTGTATTAAAGAGTATTTTCTCAAAATCACCAACTCTGGAGGTGTAATTCTTTTAAGACAAAGCAAAAGAAAATACATAAAAAGACATGATATTTTGAGTCATACCTGTCCACCTCATTGCTTGGTGTTTTGCTGATCTCTCAAAGTCACAGATCAGAAATGTGATAAACAACTTTAAACAAAAATTACAGGATTATCAGCATAGTCATGATTAATCGTCAATTTCTGAAATGATCATTTGTGATTTGTGTATCGGTCTAATAAGTGCAAAAAATAAAGAGATTCTTCATTTCAGATAAAAAAAAACATGTTATGGTTTTCATTAAAGAGAAAATATAACCACACCTGTGACAGTAATTTGGAATAAATATTACTTCAAGAAAAGAAAGAAAATTTAATCACATGTTTAAAGTCTCAAAATAAAAACATATAGATCTACATACATACTGTTTTTAACCTAATTTTAATATACTGTCTACGCTGACCCATAAATATTCTGACCTCTTGCAAATCATTTTATCTGGCCTACACATATAATCCCTTTTTCTTATAAAAAAAGAAATCCTTTCCATTCTTACACCCTGCTTAATACAACCCCTCTGATCCCACAGAGTGTCAGATAAGACAACCTCATTCATCACAGTGTTTCCACATCAATTCTCAAACATCGACTTTATACAGCTATTCTAACCTTTGCACTAATATAAACCCATGGCATGTTTTCTTTTCAGAATATTCCTCCAATTCTCTCATCTCTCAAACTCTAGATTTAAGTAGCTCCGCCGGCCGTTCCCGTGGTAAGCCCTCATTGCAATTTTTCACTGTAGCACATCCACAGCCTATAGCTATGGTAGAAACACTCCCACACCAAACCTTGGCTGTATGTCAGAGGTTATCCCAACCAATTGTAATCAGTTATACCATACAGGAAAATGTGGGAGAGATTAAGAAAGGAGAAGAATTAAAAAGATTAAAAAAAAGGGGGAGTGAGAAAACATATCATTGAAAGTATCATTAACAGGTACCGGTATACTTACTTAAGTGTATCAAAAATTAGATTCACATCAAAATTCTGTAGTATTTAGATATCAAATATCTTTTTTATTTTTTGACCATGTATTTATTCATTAAAAAATCATTCAGTGCATACATAAGCATAAATTTTCGTTTTAGTTTTCACTGAAAAAGAAATTAAGACAGACTTGTAGACATCATACTGCACAAACAAATATTTGAAAATTCTAGATTGGCTGAATTTAGTTGTATATGAATATTATGTCATAGACGTTTTGAATTTTGCATCATTGGACACATTTTTTTCCCTTTTAAATGTTGGAGTTATGTTCAATTTCATTTAAATATTAATATATACGTACCAAGTAATACACTGTAATATGAAATGAAAGCTACAAGATATTAAACCTTCTGCAACACATAAATAACGACACATATTATAAAAGTTAAAGGTTTGTGATCGGTGATGCGAAATATAATTTTTTACAACTTCTCTTTAGCGTCATGACATCTTTAAAAAAAAGGGGGGGGGAAAGAACAAATCTATTTACATAGTCAATAACTTAATTGTCAGACATGATGTTAGTTAATTATACTGTGGTGATAACAATTTACTTGTTGCTATGGTGACTATGAATATTGTACACTGATTTAGTGGAAGCTACCAAGGAACGCTTGCAAGCAGGTAAAGTGTGGAGAGTTGTCCCCCCTCTGTCACAACAAAACTTATTGACACATAATGTTTAATAACTTATTTTTATGGATGATTAATTTTTCTTATACATGTCTTGCTTGGTTTGGTTTGATTGATGGAAAATCTTGCTGTTAACTTCAAATGTGTTTACCCAGTGTGTGTGAAATTTCTGAAATGATATTCCTTTTTAATGTTTGCCACATACATGTAAGACATTTCAGACATACTTCTTAATTTTTTTATACTAAAGGTATATTATGTGAACTATGAATTAACAGTTTTTTATCTTCAATATATAATCAATTTTGTTCTAACTAATCAACACAAACATTGCGTGTCCATGTTTTGTAAATTATCAAGTGCTGTATTTCGAGATTCGTCCTAGTTATTTGATCTGTATCTCGTTTGTACCTTTCATTTTCCCCACAGAACTTCAGTTTTCCTCTAATTGACTTTGATTAGTGTCAAGTATGTTCTCAGAAATCTTTTTTTTTCATTCTAATTTTTTGTTTTTAAATCAATTAAATGACATTGTAATAATAATGTAGTTCTATGATCCCTACCCAAGTAAGCTGAGAAATGGACAGATCTCTGCTGATATGGTTGCCCTTAAATACTGTGGATTGCATATAATGGGCCTCTTGTATGTTGTTCAGTGAGGTAGCAACCTGCTACTATATGGAGATCTGTCTCAAAATGACTGTCTGTTGACAGGGGGGATAAATCCACCTAACAAATAAGCAAAACCTTCAAGGGAAAACAATCAAAGTAGCATGTTTATTGGGAAAATATAGATTACTAATTTGAAATGAGGGGTGAAGGATGTTAATTGGCAAGTGTTCCCTTTTTTCAAGAAATATAATATCTAATATCTTAAATGTGTAAACTGGTTTGACATGTTGTTGGTAAAGAACAGGTTGTGTTTCCTATCTAATTTTGCAGCTCTGTAATGCTGTATAAAGTTATAGTGTTGATATTTCTGATGCATTGGGGAATTTCAGGAGATGTGCAACCACCAATGTTTTAATTTACAACCTAGACATTGTATGATATGCTAATAATTCTCATGTTTCCAGAATGTTGATTTTTTAATGGTTATTGAACTGTGCAGAGAATCCATGTATTTTAAAAATTCATCATGAGTTGATGAAATCAGTCTAGCTTGATTTTCACCCGACCATAAGTGAATGAAATCACATCGATTTTACAAAAGATACAAATTTTATCTTGCCAATTAATGAGGAATGTGTTAGACATATACATATAGTTATGGAATGTATGAAACTTGTTTCTATGACAACAGAGGATCGACTTGATGAGCTCAAGATCATCTTTCTGGAGGAGGAGATTAAGGAACTGAAGCATGCCCTTCGTGATCTCAAAAATCGAAATAACTTCCTAACACAGAGGCTAGAACAAGAGGAAGAACACAAGAAAAAACAGTCAGTATTTCATTCTTGGTCATATCATTATATATGTGTTACTGTTGTATTGTTAAGGCTACAGTTAAGCCTGTCTTAAACACATTTTTTTCAAGTAATCTCGGTCAAATACAGTCTTGATTTATCCTTGTTAGATCTCAAGAAAAGTAAAAATCCAGTTGATGCTGAAGGAAAAGTGTTTATGCTGAAAATGATTGTAGTTGTCATTTTTACCCCAAGAAAAGAATCAGTGATTAAAGCTGATTATTCTTTCCCCTGAGAAGGAAGTTGATACCTGCACAGCCAAAAGGAACTAGTGACTAAATTGAAGTCCTTTGGCAAACTGACAAGGTGAGGAGCTGTGATAGCTCAGTTAGAAGAGTGTTGGCCTATGTAACCTCCGGTGAAGATCCGAGGTATGTAGTTTGACGTTCCCTCCCTGTGGCAGTTTGTGTTTCTCAGGAAGTTGTCTGTGCTTTAATGATTGTTTCCAGGGGCAAGACACTTTCGCCCCTCATGCTTTGGATGACATGGTACATTGTTATGACCTCTAGTATGTTGTTCAGTAAGATAGCCACCAGTCGTAACAAGGAATGACCTGTGTTTAAAGTGATGCTGGCTGTTGACAGGATGATAAATCCAGCGAACAAACTGGTGAACTGATTCTCAACTGAGGAAATAATATGTTATTTACATATGTGACTGTCATACTTATAGGACAGTAAGACAATAAGACCACCCTCTGATTCTGAAACAGTAAGTGTAAGTTAACCCCTTAGGCATTCTTCAGGATAAACACAGTATGTTTTAAAGAGTATTTGGTGTCTGGCACTCATACCAGCATGATCATTAAAATATTTGATATTTCCTATCATTCATATTTACAGACTGGCTAAGATTGAGAGCCTACAGTATCAGGTAGCACAGGGAGGGGGCCCAATGGCAGAGAAAATTGCTGCTGGCAACCTCAACATCTTCAGCAACCCAAATCGTCCACCGACCTTGACTGAATGTGAGGTCGTCATTCGTCATTTACAGTCTATCAATGAGCAACAGACACATGAGGTAACATTCATTTTCATTGTGCAAAATTTTTACACTGTTTGGTAAATATCCATTTCTGGAAATCACAATTTTGCTTGCATTCAACATCTAATTTCAAAACTTTGATATGGAGTACTTACATATGAATATACTTTAGTTGTGGCAATAATTACCTCCAATAGGTTTCATGTGGATAATGTGAGATGGAAAATAATTGTAAGAAAAAAAATTGTACAAACTGTGAGAACCTGTTCTATATATTTGATATATTTTAACAAGTGTCACATTTTTACTGCTGTTTTGACAATCGTTTGTATTTCTCATGGTGACTTTAACAGCTGGAGCGCCTAAAGTCAGACCTGCGTGACGTGTTATACTCCCACAAATGGACGCCTGATGCCTACTTACTTGCCAAGGCTTACATTGCTGAAGATGATGCCAAGGACAAGGAAGAAAAAAGAGCTCTTCCCAAACTTAAGAATCCTTCCAGAAAATTGTAAGTTATGTAAAAACTATATTAACTCCCAAACTTAAAAACCTTTGTTAGTTGTGATTTGTTTCTCTTTTTCTAAAGTAATGATCATTTTACTGTAAGAATATTAATTGCAATTTTTTTTAAAAAACAGTAAGATTGAAATTGGAAAGCCTTGCCTAACTCCAGTGGAAATTTCAAACCTCCTCTGAAGAAAGTCAATTACGCTAAAATGTTCAAAATTTCCCCTTGGTTGTGGGTGTAGGCTTTCATGTTGCTTCAGCATCTCTGGATTAAATATGACTTAATACTAATGCTAAATGTGATTGTACATTTTCCCTGTTTATCCAGTATTAAGCCCACCCCCATCTTTTTAACAAATACTACTCCATTGTCCTAAAATAAGCCCACCCCCTGACTTTGAGTCCAAGGTTAGTTGGCGGTCCTGTAGACTTATTTCATGATATATAGAGATTTTATATATATTCATTTTGTATGTATACATTTTATAAAAAAAAATTTTGTTTTTTTTTTCAGACCCGATATTGCATATATCCAAAGAGATACTGTAAATTTACCCGCATTGAAGCAGACTGTTAGTAACAAAGCCATAGAGCGGCGTAAACGTACCCAGATCCTCCAGAAAGCTCGCCTACACAAAGAAATTCTGCCCTAACATCTCATGAATATTAGTAAAGGAGAGATGCATCTACAAAAGGGATTCATTATAGTATAAATATGTATAGTGTTGTACATATATTATTGGATGAGTCTATATGTAACAAACTATATCATTTGCTGAATGATACCTTATTAGGTTATGTGTATTAGGTGATAAATAATTTTAAAGATTTTTTGTAGATTTTAAAATTTTATAGGTATAATTTTACGTATTTTAAATGTGGTAGACAGTGAAATTTACAACAAAGTGTGCCTATATTTCTCACCAGACCAAGAAGTCACAATATCACTGAGTGAGAAAACTCAAATAAGATTATATAAACATTTGACAAGTTCTGCTGAATAGGAGAAATTTGTCCGTCTGTTGTGCTGTCTACTATTGAAAGAAGGGAGACAACTCCCGTGTGTTTATTCTGACTGTTGCTATTACGTCTATTGTGCCTCCCTGTGTTCTCCCATTCGACATTGATATGCATGTATCATCATCCATTGTAACAGGCCTAAACTTTCTTACTGGAATTCACTGATAATATGTGATGGATGTGTTTTCTCTTTCGAAAGAAGATTTTAACAAAATTAAAACTAATTTCCTCTTTTTTAAGTTTTTAAATTGTACTTTGATAATTTTGTTTCCACATTTTCATTGTCACAGTTGTGGTTCAAAATGATTTTTTTTTTAATTTTGTGATGTAAGAACCTGATATGTTGATTACTTAAACATACAAGTATTAATTTGCTGTTATCCCCACCAAAAATTTCAGACATTTACAAAGTTTTTATTGTAATGAAATTTGGTTTGTACATCATGAAAAATTTAATCTGAAAACAACTGAAGATATTTTTGTTTGTAATGTTAAGTTACCAGGTTTCCTTTTTTATCAGATCGTTTTGTCAAATATTTTCAGATAGATGATAAAAACATTTATCCTAAATGATTTAAAATGAATATTTATAATAAGTATGATGCATTAAAACATATTCTTTTTCCTTTCCCGAACTTTTAATCTCTTTTGGTCCACTTATAATCTTCACCAGTATTTATATTGCATGCCCAACCTATGAAGAAAAAAGTTGCGGCTTATAATCCAAAAATACGACTCTCATATCATACACGGATTTATCTGACAAGTATCTCAAGTCTGATAATAAGCCCACCTGTATCTTTGTAGTAGAGGTAATATATCAGCCCCAGCACTTACAATAGGATAAACAACAGAGCATTAGTGTCAAGAAGATTTCAGTAGATCTGAAGTGCATGTGTTTGTGTATTGTGAATGATAAAAATATTTGTATGTTAAAATGATTTTTTTCGTAATTGTCTACTCAACTGATAGTTTATGTCAAGTGCTAGTCCTTTGTGATAAATACAGATAAATCCTTTCAGGTCGTGTATTTCATTATGTGTGTGTATAATTCCAAATGTAGCTGTATGTTAAGATAGCTTATATATGGTCATTAATATTAAATGGAGAATTAATATTGTATGAATAATGCATAAAGTTATTATATAACTTTTTTAATCACTGGTATAAAAGTCTTCATATCATGTATTTGTTGAATGTTTAAAAGAATGTGTTTTTTTCTGCACTTTGTCACCATGATTTTATGTTTAATGTTCTCAAGATCTAATAAGTATGGAGGTTTGAACAACATTAGGCATTGATGAAGATTTATAACATAAATATGAAATATTGAAGTCAACGCATAATGAATATTTTTATTTACAAAATAATTCTCAGACTGTCAGCATTTAAGGGAGGCAGACCACCATTTCCAAGACAGAATTGTCAAAGTTATTAATTTTGTTTCCGAACAAGTCAATGTTACTAGAAACAAAACAATCTCATCTTTTTAGGTTCTGTTGTAAAGAATTTTTGTTTCTTATGTGTACTTATCCCAAACATAACACAGGATTTCAGATAAAATTGGCTTTGTGATAAACAGAATTTCATAACCTCATATTGAATGCTTTATCATGATGTACAGTAATGTCTGTTTAAGTTTGTAACAAATATTTTCACACCTGTCTCATTTGACCCTTGATATTGCAGATGTTCTCTCAAAATCAGACACAAAATAATTCTTTAATCTGTTATAATATGACCCCAGTGAATTCTTACACCCATCTTATTTGACATCTGATATCTTTTCGAAAAACAGTTATTGAGTATGAGGTATTATGTAAACCTGGAAAATCCGAGTAAAGAAACATTCTGTGAAATCTTAACACTGTATCTGAAATTTGACATTCTGTCTTCATCTGGTTCCAAAGTTTTCAAACATGCTCTCTAATTCTTCAAATGTTTTACTGTAAGATTAAATAGGTTTTGACTGTATATAGCTTTAAGTGTAATGAGATGGAGTGGAGCAGACCATACTTGTACCAGAGTAACTACTGAAAGATGTATAATATGTCTCTAAAGTCCATGATACTGTGATATTTATTTATCTTAAAGATTATTAGAAGTTTAGTTTAGGAAAGAATGCTGTTCTTCTACACCTTGTGATCTCCATTATTGTGTCTTATTAGTTTGAGGTATTTTAGTGTCTGTTCCCAATTATGCAGGCATGTTTTCCGTCCCTATCCAAACTGACTTGTTAAAGTGTACAATTTAGTTCATACATTGCCATAAGTCATAAGTTTATTTGGTTGTTAACCTCTGTGGTTTAAATAAACCTAAAAATCTTGACACCTCTTTTGTGAAATAAGAACTTGTCAATGAAAAGTTGCAAGAAAATAGTGGGAAAGATGATACAGGTTTAACACCTATTAAATGAATACAACAAAAGTTTGTTAATATTTAAGTCATATTAAGGTTAAAAAGCGGTCTTAATCAAGGTTTTGTTCTCACAAACCATTGCTTCAATATTCTGCAGGTATCTTTATCATACAGAACAAAACTGTTGTATGTGCTTACATTCATACATCTGTCTTTTCTAGACAAGTATGAAATACATACCTAGTGTTAACTTGTTCTCCAATCTATTTCAAATTTGTTATGTATGCATGTTCAAGTACATATGTGCTGGCCAACTCTGTGGTGTCACCATTTCATGTCCAAATAATGGATTATTTCTTTTATAATATTCATTTGTTTCCTTTTTTACATGTGTGCATCGCTTACATACATATATTACGTACATTTCTGTATTAGCAGTTTTGCTTTTTACATAACTAAATATGTCATTGCATTAAAAATGACATGGATGTAGACTGGACACCTTTAATCAAGAGACTAGGACTGTTCTGTATATTCTATTAGTTATATTTCCCCAGGGTCCTAGTTTATAGATAATTCTTACACTGAAAAATTTTATCTTGTACCACATTTATCCAGTAATAAGCCCAGGTCTAATAATAAAGCCCCCCACTCTCCCCACCATCCCTGGGTTTACTACAGGAGATATGCCAGGAGGGATCATAGTTTTACTTCCACATTCATTCAATGGGATGGGTCGGTTGAAATATGAGCTTTAATACTGCATGTAAACCACGTTTCCAATGGGAAATTCAAAAACAGTTAATGATATAGTATTATTAAGAACTCGCTTTGTATGTTATGTAATCATCTTATGCTTGTGTGTATGTCTACATTATGTACTGGCATTTCTATGAAAAACGTGCTCATACAACATAATTATATACATACATATGATAGTTACGATGTGTTCTGTTGAGCTTCTCAATTTTTTTTTTTCTGAAATGGAACAAAAATCAAATTAAACATATTCATATCAATGGAGTGTGGCTTGTTATATTTTTTGTTCTTTAAATGTTGAAAGATTCAGACACTTCCCGAGTCAAAAATATTTGTGAAATACATACAAATATAAGTATGTAATATCTCACAGAAGTTTTTATTTCATGAGAGTTTATGAAATGAACCTTAGGTGTGTATTTCCTTTCAGTTTCAGCCAGCTCATTACAAGCTGAAACAGAATTTTGATTGGCCCTCATCTTTTTTTTTTACTCTAAAAATGTATATTTATTTCTGTATTCAAAAATTAATTTTAAATAATAGCAATGATAAAAACTTACAACAATCTCTCTTGAAGCGCAAGTGGCTTTAATTTACTAAGAGAAAAACTGGAGTATTCAGGGAAAACTGATGTTGACCGGCCGGTGACCCCAGATCTTTTCAATAATGATCAGGAAATCGAACCTGGGTCAACTTTGTGGATTGCGAGTGCCACTGAGCTGCCCAACTTTTCCCCATTTACTAGGTTTCTCTCTAAGTCATGTTGTTTCACTTAGTATTGTTTTGCAACATTACAATGGATTATAAAACAAATTTCATTGACAAAGTCAGTAAAACAGAAAACTAGTCACACTGACCTACATTTGATGTAATGGTGTAGTGTTCACAAAATGTATTCATCCATGAAAACTACATGATAATTAAACTTGACCAAAATCACTGACCCAGAAAAAAGACAGGTCACAGTGACCTGCATTTGCATATGTGATATATTTATATATATTATATTACAATATATATAATTGTTCTCCAACAGTATCAATACACTACACATGTCAAATGTGATTTTCAGATCTTTGTGAATATGGTACCATCTCCTTGATGGAATTGATGAGACAGTGTTCAAATGAACGGAAAACAAAATCGAAAGTTCGAAGAAATCGAAGCGAGTCAAAACAGGTGAAAGAAAACAAACACCTTGAATTTTATTTCAACACTCACAAGGACTGTAAATTGTGTTAAAGCAAAACAAATACCCCAAAGAAAAAAAATTCTGTACATTTATTCCAGTCATAAAATCATTGACTTTATGTAATACCATACAACATATGGAAATATGACGACTTTGTTCTCGCAACAAGTACTAGATCAAGGGTATGATTTTCGCACCAGACTCTTAAACACAATGCTCTCAGCACTTACGTTAAACATTTTGGTGTTTTTACCCTGGTCAAAACCAATAAGAACTGTTTGTGAACACAGGTATAATGTCATATGCCATTATTCTTAAAGCCCTGCATTGTTTTGAATTCAGAGAGGGACTAATGTTTAATTTAGAGTTAAAATTCTAGTGCAGAGACTTCTGGTGATGTACAAACCCAGTTACTGTAAGTATCTGTAAAGTTTCATAATGCTTTACAATTTACTATAAACATAACCCAAATATTCAATGATAACAAATGTTTTCCTGAGTGTATGAAGTCTCCTACTGCATACACAGCTTTTTGCTACACCTAAGTAGTCTCCATTCATAGAACAGAACAGAATAGTCACTACTTTGATTTAAATATATGTAGACATGTTTCAAATACACAAAGCTTGTCCATTGTCCTCGATTCCATGATCAGTGTGTTTCCTTTGTCCAGTGGTGTTCTGAAAAGACCTGTCAGGATTACTTGACAATATCACTTCCTGTAATATGAACACCAAGTAGAACTGTAACTGTTGACAATAATCATGTTTCTCTTTTGGAACAGAATCTCGAAATGAGGTCACTTTTGCTATCACAAGACCAGGGTCAGAGGTCAATAGTTATGACTCCTGCTGTCAAGCAGATCATTGTCCGAGTGAATTTGGCACAGCTGATATTTTACAAAGTCTTGCTAACATTCCAGAAAGCTGCAGTAATGAGCTGACACCCTCTGCTATCCTCATGTGTGTGTAGCCAATCTCCTGTAAATGATAAATGTATTACCAGGTTCAAACATTTATCAGAAGAGCAAAACAACAGATTGTAAAATAATTGTTTATGAAATAAGGATGGACCCAATGATTTTCACTTTTTGACTCAAGTCTTTTAAGGGTTATATAACATTTGTAGTCCAACCCAATTTATGCCTGAAATGTGACACTGAAAGTGCCAACAAGCTGGTTTTCCCATCTCAATGAAAGATCACGTTTTTTTTAAAATAAAATATGAATTATGTTTATGTAGAAAACATGACAAAAGCCAATAATAAATTTTATGTAGAAATGTTTCAAGTTACCTGGTTTTTTCACATTTATCAAAACATCACCCAAAGCGCTCCAACTAATGTTTTTTTTTTACTGTATTTAATGTTGATACAACCCACTAAGATTTCATACATACAAATTTCTTAAAATAGATTTAAAGTGAAGATCAATGGAGTCAATGAGACAAACCTTGATGAATTCAAGTTTCAGAAATTCTGGCATGCTGTGTGTTTTACAGACTCGGAACACAATTGTCATGATGTCCTGGCAGGAGTAGCCGAGCTTCCATAGATGAGCCATGATCTTGTAGGCCTCCTCAAGGGCACCGTTCACACAGTGTTGTAGCATGTCCTTCACTAGTACAGGGTGAGGTTCGTCACATACCTGGGATACCATAGTTAATTCCAGATATTAAATAAAGATAACTGCTTCCATTTTGTTTCTATTTTTCAAAGTATTATAAATCCCTCCAAAAAACTAAATAGACAGTTAATTTCTTCTATCAAACTTAACCCACTGCATCATAAGACAAAATATATTACAGAAGAAATATTTGATAGAAATGGAGACAAACTACAAAATCTGGTCATAACATCATTCAGTTTGTGTAGAGTTTGGCAGAAAAGAATCACAGAAATCTCATGATATTTTCATTTTAATAGTTTAACCCTGTACAAATCTCCATACAATATCAATGTGAAATTTGTGCCTGAGAAACTGATCTACAATTAATGTTTATTCAAACCATTAGACAAAGAACTATGCTAAGTACATCTCCAGTAGACCTGCCATTTTTATGGCTGGGGCTAGATCAAAAGATTTTTTCTCTTACCTTGAATACATTTTCACTGTTTACATGTCCAAATCCTTGATGAGTGGATTGTAGGTTATTTAATGCCTGTAACATATTTAGAAACCAAAGTACGATATTAAGGAATCTGAATCAGAAACTTGTTTCTTTGTATCAATGTTAAGTGTTGGATTTGGTTGTCAATTTCTGTATAAGTGATTAATTCTCAGAGTTTATATTTGACATTTGACCTAACTCGAGCAAGGTAGCAAATCCAATATTGCTCAACAATATCTTCTTAAAACTTAAATATAGTCAGAAAATATTCATTCATATATCTGAACATTCATAAAATAAAACTTGTGGTACACATACATGATTTTGATAAACAAATTAGCTAAACTCCATCTTTCACAAATATCACTGACTCCACAGCAAAAGCTTTCCTTTAGTAAATAATATTTGAAATTTATCAGGAAAACCTAATGTATTAGGATTAAATATAAATGTCCCAAGATGACATGATAAGAAAGATGTTCTTTAAAAGTTTGATAATTTCCCTTCTTTGCCATCACTCCAAAATTAAGATATATACAACTAGGGACCAAAGGGACAAATTCAACCATTTGCTGATGATAGTGGGATACAAAAAAAAAAAAAAAACAAGTGCAAGGAACTATTTAAAAGCAGAGTTTAAAAAAAACTTGACAATTCCTCTCTATCATTTCTTTCTCTTGCACTCAACTTCTTATTCACTTTTATTAACATATGAATTGCCATACAATGTCATTCTGCAGTGACCAAGGAAAGAAATGTTACTGTCACAACCTTAAATTAGTGGTCACATCTAAGTAAGGTAGAATTTCACATGTTTGTGTCGCCTTGTGCAAGGAAAACAAAGGGAGGTAAGTTATCAGATTTTGGTAGTGTGGAATTGTACCTGTCTCATGTCACCTTAAGCTTTGAAAGCAAATCTAGAAACACTACAATTTTACCTGTCTCATGTCACCTTGTGCTGTGAAAACAATAGCCTCAATCCCGTCATCTGTATAGCTAACACTTTCCTGTTCACAGATCTCCAGTAAACGTTTCAGAACCTGTGCATCTGTTAACTTAGAGTATCTTAGCACAGCACATCTGGACTGAATAGGTTCTGTAAGGAAAACCAACATCAACCGTAGGGCAAAACTTTATATTCCAGAGAAGTTGGGAGTCAAAGGCATTGTCTCAGTGACCATACTATTGACAAAACAGACGAATACAACACATATCAATACAGTAAGATTTAGATAACTTGTGATTGATGACTGTATTTAGACACATGCAAGGATATTGATCATATTGCTTACAAACTGTTATCCAATTTACCTATGATCTTATCTGATGCGTTACAGGCGAGTGCAAATCGTGTCGTCTTTGAATATATTTCCATTGTCCTTCTCATGGCTTGTTGTGCTCCATCAGTCATACTGAAAAACAGGATTTTTTTTTATTATCAATGGTTATAGAAAATTTAACTTCCATTTTGGTTTAATGATTGAAAATATCAGAAATGCAGCAAAAGAATAATTCTCTTCACAAGTCACAACCCACATTTATCAACCAAAATTCACAACTCAAGAGTGAAATATATGGTTATAGCCACTTAAAACATAGACTATGGGGTGAAAACAAGGGTCAAAGTCATCATAACTTTCTGGTGTCATTTTCTCAACAGTTTTTTATTCAAACGCGCAGCAAGGAAGATGTACAGAAATAATGAATCCACTTTATATCAGTAATTATATAAACACTTGATTCGTTAAAACTTTATTTAATGGTATTAGGGTATCTCAGTATATTTCATATTGTTGTAGAATCAACCAGCAATTAAAGTACCACTTTGGATGTTTCGATATTCCAGTAAGTACAAACACACTTATTGTCAATACCTAGTTCCAATCTCTAAACATCCCTAGATAAACTTCTATTACAGGTACCATGGCATTTTGTGTTCAACAGGAAGTTGAGAAAATGACCAGTCTCTGCTGTTATGGTTGTGTCCTTTATTGGGAACAACACTTTACCCTATTTGCTCTGAATGGCATACAATGGGCCTCCCTGATGTTTTTCAGGGAAGTAGCCACCAGCTAGTATAAGGCATCACCTAAATGACCCTTAACCCATTAACAAGCAATTGGATTTATCATTCTCTGATTGTGACAACTAGAACTTACATATCTTTTTAGCTGGAAGAGTCACTCACCCAAAATAAAAATATGACACTACTTATTCATGTAAGATCACTTTGTTCTGCCACATCTTGCTCTAATCTCATTAAAATTATTCTTACAAAAATTTGTTCCAAAGATGAACATTATAAATAGTTCTTGTCATAAATGTTGAAAATGTTGTGTAATTGTCCCAATTATCTGTTAATGCTAAATGTGCTGCCTTCTTTTTACACCAGAATTATGCACATATGTTGCAGAAGTTTTACAATCTACATACTTTAGAATACTTTACAATGAGAATGACTGTCATAGTCACTTTGTTTTAGACATTTAAATACTGGTATTATTCTAAATAGACTTGAGCTTATCTTACTTAAAGGAGCTGCCTTCAGCAGGCTTGGAAAGCAATTGCAGACAACTGGAGAAGTATGTGTCCTTAAAACAATTTGAAAGAAAAACAGGTTATCTGATAGGTCAAATGGGCTAGTACTACTTGTACTATTGTAAATAAAGGGTTGACCCACTGATTTTGGGTAAGATGGCAACACTAGGGTTAAAATGGACAGAGTTTAATTTCTGTAATTTTTTCCAATTTTCAACTCTACAGTACCTGTCTGCTTCATCCAGTATAATAACTTTGTGACGACCTTTGGGTAGTGTGACTTTCTGTTGTGCAAACATCTTGATTTTGTTCCTCACCACATCAATACCTCTGAAGATAAAACAGGTAATTATTTTTACAGTTAATCACCTCACTCTACAAAAAATGAGTTTTAATGCTGAAAATCTATAAACCAAATGTCCAAAGTTCAAATATTATATAACTTTTCCTAAATGAATAAAGAATTTTACACTGCTCAGTGCTTGTTGTAGAGGAAAACATGTTGAATATACTTCTAATTTATTTTTCTTCATTTTGGGGAAAATACACAATTTAAAGGAATAGCCTCTCTGACAACTGTAAAACAAAAATGGAAAAAAAGCTGCATTAACTTTCAATTATACACATGTATGTATAAAATTCTTTAATTCTGTAACATATTCCAGTAATACATCTATAATCCAAAGCAAGGATTTCAGATTTTCTTTTGGGGTACCACTTGTAATTTAACTGATAACTTGCTTAGAAGTAATGGACAGGAACCCGAACCATGGATAGGGGTGATTTATTTTGGAGTCCTGGGGTCAAGAAGATGTTTAACTGGAATAGTCTTTATAAGAAAACTGTCAGGTGTATTTTAGACATTACCCTCTTTAGTTTCTAAAGTTAGAAAGTTGTCCATTGAATTTAAAAACATTTCAGGTGCTCTTCATATAAATATTTAAAAAGATAATTAGAAAACAAACTGATAATCTCCATTCAAGAGAAAACTAAGGTTTACATAATATAAAGTTGGAGAATATGCTAATGAGACATATTAAAGAATTATGAAGCAGGAATTGATTAGTAGACTTTTTTTGTTTGTGAAATTAAATTCTTTCATGAAAATAAGCAAAGGTACATCGAAAGTGTGCTGCTATTAAATTCACCTGTCATTAGAGGCATTGAGTTCCAGCACTGCATCCCTGTAGGAGGGCCCTAATAAGGCGCGGGCCAGACATAGTATACTTGTTGTCTTTCCTGTCCCTGGTGGTCCCTGAAAGTAAATTTAACATACATGTCAAAGGATATTAATTTATATAAATTATATTGAATAGTAATATGATCAATAAAGTTTTACCTTTAAAATGTCCCCTCCCCCACCCCCCAATACATACTAAAATATTTGTAACTGTTTAATGAATGTTGAAATAATCATTCTCATACTTCAATTATCTTTGTTTTCACATCTTTTTTACATAAACTAGTTAATGTCTGTGAGATATAAATGACCCCACCCCCATGAATTTAAGTATCATTGCTTAATCTAATGAACTTGTCAAATATGACTTCCTCTTTAGAAAATTTTAATACAGATTGATAAAAAATAGAATCAGAACAATTCAAATCTTGTCATCTTAAAACATATTAAAAAATCACTCACAGCAATGATGACATTGGGTACATTTCCATCCCTCGCAAACACCTGAAGGCGACTGATGGTTTCTTCATTTCCAACAATATCTTGTAATTTTATCGGCCGATACTTTTCCACCCTGCCAGCCAATAATATGTATGAATTAAAGTCATTATCATGAGCTTACCTTAAGGTTAAGATACTTTGAAATTATCTTATAAATCATTATAATAAACATACATTTATACATACACAGAAAGTAGACCAAACAAAGGGCATTTTTTTCCTTATTTGAAACCAGTTACATTTAGGCATAAAACTGTAATGGTATCAGGGAAAACTTGGGGACTGAGAGTAACATCTCATTTTCAGAAAATTTTAGTCAGTGTAGGAATTAAGGAGGAGCCAGTCTATGTAAAACAGAAATAAAATATAACTACAGAGGGGTTAATTTCTAATTTATTGTTGACTGGCTAATGGCCCCTTGACCCCTCCATGTGATATGGTATTTACGTTTGTCATAAATTGTCATAAATGACAGCTTTGTAGGTAATCATCCCAGAATATGTTTCTGTCATTCAATAATGAAAGCCACAACAGTACGTTTCAATACTAGATTTACATTTATGTAAGACCTATACACATGTTGCTATCTCATGCCCGTTATAATTTGATTCAAACTAAAAGAATTTGAAGACACATTATCAACAGTGTTCAAACAGCAAATTTTTGAAAGTGAACAGTTTTCTTTTACCAACAATATTGATGTTACGTGTACTGGACTGGTCATACTCTGGATGTCATTAATCACATTTCTGTTTGATAATCAATAAATTTATATAGTGGTAATATTAATAATATTTCATATGTCATCACATTTGTATGTGGTCTAGACGTTATGTTACAATACTTATCATCATAACTCTTGATCAAACACAGAAGCTCATAGTTATAGGCGGAAAGTCAGGCTACACATGGATTATTGAAAGATTTTCTTATAATCTAGGTATCTAGATAAGTCAAAGGTTAATTTGTACTAGTCAAGTGACTCTTGTATCAACCCCCTGCTCATGCCTTCGAACGAGCGCAACGAAAATTCCTTCTAGATCCTAAACGAATCTGTCGGACATAACTATAAGGAAGGGATGGGGAAATGAGATTCATGACAAACATTGAAACCAAATCACAACCAATATGCAATATAGCTCGTGAGATGCTATCATAATGTCAAAGTGATGTGAAACACACGTGTTGTACGGAAGGAATTACGTTACGGCAGGTAAAGTTTGATCTCAAAAGTGACAAAACGGCTTTTCGATCAGGAGCGTTTCTTAAGTTTTGATCAAAGCGACTTGTAATTCTAGTGGTGATGTCATACGATATACTTAATCTTTACCATGGTAACTCATGACTCGACCCTGAGCTTCCTCCAGCCTTAGGTTTACTTTTTGTTGACTCGACAGAGTCCACTTCCATTACTTCTACGTCCGCCATATTTTCCCGCGATAATTTTTTGTTTACAACAGGGGAGCTTACTCTATGAAAAGGCCAAAAAGGCCTGTACCAACAGAACCATTGAAAGGATAGTCATCTGATAATTGGACACATATATTTACAACACTAATGACAGTACTTTTCTTCAAAATACATGACTACAAGCAATACACAGATAAGACAAAATTTAGGCATCTTATATTATACGATATCTAATGTTGAGAGAGAGAGAGAGTCGGAGTCGTTTTGACCTATAAATGTAGGCTACACGGGTTACGCATCTATATTCAGATGTACGTATTATTTAAATTTACCCTAGAGAGGTCGTAAACAAGAGAGCTGGCACGGTTTCTCATTTGGAAATTAAGTATGTTCAATTAACGTAAACCCCACACCTCAAGCATTTTCTATATATTATTTCTGTCTTACTGATAATTGATTAAAAGTAATTGAAGGTTGTTTTATATCTGTGTCATTCCACATGTTTGTAGTTAAGGGGGGGGGGGATTCACCTACGTAAGAGATACCGTGAAGTTTTAGAGATTGGGGCCCTCTATGTTAGCATTACATTTTACATCTCAAAAAAATCGATGATCATAGTTGTCTCATATTCTAACGGTTCTCGCATGAGTCAAAATTGAAAAATAGCAAGTGCTGTCCCTTCAATTACAAATATGTATTATCAACCACCACCCGCGAAAGGCACAAAAATCACGAATAATAAAGGGGGATTCGATCCAGGGACCTTTGAAGTCGAGAGCAGATATATAAACCACTGTACTACCACTACGTTACATATGATTAAGTGAAAATTTTTAAATCTTATTTGTTCCCTCCAAGTATTGAACACATTCTGTATTTGTATTTGTGTACATCGGAAAATATGTTACATTTCCATATCATCAAACCCCTTAAACCCACGCCCTATACACACACACCTCAGATAGTATACATTACACAAGTGTGATCTCTTATTGGGGAAGCGAAGTATGTATTCTTTGTGTATTTGTCTTTGAAATATCCCGTATTGCAGTATAAAATGACGCGTTTAGTATGTGTTTACATTTTTCATGATTTATGTATAATCGTTACAAAAACTCGTCTTCGATTTTATCATTTGGCACTGACTGGTCATATATTAATGAAATATAAACAACTTCATTTTATAATTGCATTGCGTTTCGATAATAACAAAAACATTTTTAACAGAAAATGAAAATGTAATAAGTAAATATGCAGTTCTTTATGTTCCAATCACTCGCAAAATATAAAAAAAATTCTAATCCTTGTTAGCTACTTTTTTATACGTAAATTCTGATCAAGCGCAGACCGGAAATATCGGGTAAAACCCAATTTGCATATTTAAATAACTCATCATATATGTTGTCAAATTTGGACACAGTGACGTTTTAAAAGATTTATTTTGAGACAAAACTCGCCCTCCGTCCGCTCTAAAGTGTGTTTTTCATATTTGTTTCATAAAATCGTGTGTGTGGGTGTAGAGTCGTTAGCATACATTGTAATAATTCACTTAAAATTCAATGCAACGAATAAAAGCAACCTATCGAGAGGTATCCATGTTTAAAATAAACAACTACGTAGCAACATTTTCACAAAAATGAAAAGAAAACAAAAACTGAAATATAACATGTTGGCGTGCTAGTATCGCATTTAGTGCACTGTTTGTCACGACTTTTGACTTGCGCAAATAAAAAAAAAAATCAGGACTTGTTGTTTGAAAACTAAGAACATAGGATAATGTTGCAACAACCAACCAAATGGATTACATAAATGAATTGACTGCTATTTATAAATGTAAGTCATAAATCTGAATGAGAAATAACATGCACGAGTACATTGAATTCGAGATTTGCTTGGTTCTATGTATTTATAATGGATAGAAGCAGTGAAAAAAAAAAGTTTTTTTTCAAAAATGTTGCAGTTAATCAATTTCTAATCATTTTCATTCTTTTCCTTAGTGTAAAGGATTACTTCAAGATATAGTTAACGGTAGATGTTGTAGATCCCTTCCGATCCGAATCCTTGTTCAAGAGTTCTCATTTGTTAATCTTCAAATTTTAATTGCTACAGTAATAATCAATTGTTCTATTCGAATGTATTTTCAAATTCTAGATCTTCTCGCAGCTTTATTTGTTTTAAATCGAATCCGGAGGTGTCTTTATCACACGTCCCTGACCAAATCAGATGATTTCATCGTATATTGACTGTAGTAATATGTGAAATCATAGAGGACATAGAATCAGAGGATGAGAAATTGGCCCACGAAAGAGATGGCTATAGTTCACACAGGTCCAGGTAAACCGCATGACTTCTCAGTTGGGGGTTTACTGGCGCGTTCTTCGAAATAACTGACCATATGCACTTATATAGTAAAATGTGATGTTTTATTCATAAAATATTGTTGAACTGAATTGTAACATTCTGATTTTTATAATAATCATTGAAGGTGGTTATTTTTTGTTTGTGGTTTTGAACATGTATATTTATGCTATCATGGATTCAAATTCGAAATAAGTCCGACATATTATGTACCGTATTATTACGGTAAGTAGATGTGTAACATTAATGTAGTCTACAACAGATACCTATATAACAATGGCTGGACGGATCTCCAACTCGAAGTCTGATAAAATCACTCATCCATAAGTGACCCCATTCTAACTGTGCGCTCACGTGCCTACGATTTATAAGCGCTAAGGGGACGTAACCCATGATATCCCGTAGAAATAAATATAGGAAATTAACCAAATAGCTTCGAGATATCACCATTTTTCGTGAAAATATTGCTACGTAATTTATTATTTTTAACATGATTACCTCTCGACAGGTTGATTTTATTAGTTGCATTGAATTTTAAGTGAAACTGTGTATCGTGAATGCAAATAAATGTATACCTACAGACGTCGTTATGGAACATGAGGAAGGACACAAAAAAGTTTGATGGTGAGAGTGACCTCTAAGCTCGTTAATAACCGAAGCAAGAACGTTAACCCCCAACACGGGGTTTTCCTACCTGCAACCCGATAAACGCTAGTTGCATATGAGCGAGATGTTGAAGCTAATGGGGTCTGGTGTAGCCGATGTGTTTTGCATACGTTCAATATACGTTACCTTTCTCACGATACCGAATTTGATAGTCACAATTTGCAAAATGCAATATCCGACATTGCTTTGCTGTCTGATTTCGTTGGTATTCTTAAAGTGGTGTATTTTGAAATGAATGGTTTGAAACACCGCGTTTATAATTTTTCCTGTTGTATATATATTACAGAAACAGGAATTCAACACGTCTTCAAAACGATGCCAGGTGTGATTCTCCTGGTAAGCCTGGGTTGTCACATGAACAAAGCTACCGAAAATAGTGTTGTCCCTATACTCCTAATCGCTTTTAAGAATTCGGACGCGCAAAGCTGAGTTTCGATACACTCTTGAGGTTAGCAAGGTAATCGTGTCTTTAGTCTGTTGTCCGGCACCATAGAGCAGAAGCATTTCCCCCTCCAGCCGGAGCGGCGCGACCGTCGGAAATTGACAATACGTGTCCAGTAGCTGCCCTCTTAGATGTCCGACGAAGGTATCGTCTCCCATTTGGACGGGTTCTACGGCAAGGTGCTCCATATTTACAGAGAGGAGACGGAGATTGGAAAAATTTCCTTGGAAGCAGGTACCAGAGTCATCACCCTTGTGATGCTGGATGGTTACCAGGTCGCCATTCCACACAGAATGAAGGTTTTAGGCAAGACGGCCCTGATCGTGGAGCCAGGTCGACCCCAATCTGTCTGCGGTGTCAGCAGATCGGGCACTTGAGATCCCATTGTTCCGGATGTCCTGAACCTACCACTCGTGCTACCTATTCCGGGGTAATACGGTCTTCAACTCGGGATCCTGTTCCACCGACCGAGTCAGAGGGGCAAGTGCCACCTGCTCCTGTTGTCGACGCCGCGAACCCCTCAACCGAAAGGAGCGGTGCAGCCGTGAACCCTTCGTCAGGAGGGAACGGTGCTGCCGCGAGACCCTCGATCAGAGTGAGCAGTAATGACATCCAACCGTCCTTCAAACGGCCGAGCCCTGTCGTAGACGAGGATGGATACATGGGTTTCAAAACAGGAGAGGCACTTCTCGTTTTCACCGACGTTACAGTCAAATGGAGACCTGGTCCCTGGTAAGCACCTCCCAGCTGACGACGGCGTCTCTTACATGTCTGATGATCCCGACGACAGATTCGTCATCAACGAGAAGGTTCCAGGTGTGTAAATTGTGTTTTGTTTACTCGTTTACTGATCCAAGACTTATTTATGGACTTATGGCGGCGGAATTGCGATCCCTTGCGTGTCCCTGGATTTTGCCTCTTTTTGTGCTTTCCGTAAGTGTTCGTGTTTTTTCATGTTTTATTTTGTACTTCAACCATATTGTTGTTTTTTTTTAAATATATTTACCGATAATTACTGATACTTACTATCCTAGTTTACATTATTTTCTAAACATGCACACTTGGTCACTTTTCGTTTATTTTTGTTTATCATGTTTATTATCATTAGTATTGTTCTGTTGGTTCTCTTAAGATGGTATTTACCTGGCGTACGCTTTGTCATACTTCCCGGGGCGCTCGTGCACAGACTCGCTTTCGTGCACTCCATACCTTACCTGTGCTTCGGTTCGGTGGTCACTATTTTATTATTGTCCGCGATATTCTGAATGTGGTTTTTTATATTAATCGTTGGCTCAGCGGATCTATCATACTTTGTGCGCGTTTTCACCATATTTGCGTTCTTTGTTCCTCTTCCTCCGTCAGTGGTTATCTGCCCTTGGTGGTATTTTGATAGTATGCTTATACTTGGAAATATGTTATAATGAAGGATAGTGATAATATAATTATCATGGATTTGTATGAAATGAGTGAATTTTACATAACCATAATATAAATGTTTTCTATTACAAGAAACTCATGTTTCTAACTTTTCTGTTTGTAAAAAGATTGAACA